AAAAAAAAAAAAAAAAAAAAAAAAAAAAAAAAAACACATTTTCTACGATTGACAATTTACTAAAGGAACAAAATTCATATTCTTATAAAAAATTCATCCATTAAATCAATCTAATACAAAATATATCCTAGTTAGACGAAAAACAGGAACGAATTTACCTATAAAGCGAATCTTTATCAAGTTCCATATAAATCTCATCAAATTCTTCTGATATGCCAGCCATCGTTAAAGAAGAGAAAAACTCATTCTGCAAAAAAGAAAACAAGACCACTACCATTTTCAGTTACCGTTCTTAAAGTATCATCTAAAATGAAAACAAAAAGCCTAAAATTACAAGAAAAAGAAATTCCTTGCAGTTTTTCCACAGATCCTAACATATGTAGTTAATCTCAGTCGATGTCCAGCAGTTTTAACCTACTACTTGCAAACAGCAGTATAGACAAAATGATATTTTCTCAAAAAATTTTAAAGCTTTTCTAACTTTTTGAGATAATAGCAAGAAACAACTAAAAATCTATACAGAGAAAACCTGATTTTTTTGAACATACCGTGTTAATGGCAATTTCAAAAAACAACCCGTGTGTTTGCTCTGCACTTACAAAGGCAAATAAATCCCGCGTTATGTGAACAATTATGCGGTCCTTAGATATCTTCGAAACAGTTTCTGCTATTTCTAAAAAGAATTCAGAACAGACTTATCTACAGTGCAAATTTCTTACGCAATTTTTGATCATTCGACCTTTTCAAAATTCAGGAACCGCAATTTAATTTGTAAAGCATATTTAAGAAGAAAGAACAGAGAAATGGAAACTTGCTCGTGAAAGTGTCAGTAGCACCTTGGTCAGCAAGTATACCAAGGAATTTCATCTTTCAAATATAAGATACCATAAATCAAATTATCTTCGACGGGGCTGGAAAGATGGGGTACAGCAACAAAACTTCTCCAAATAGGTTTTGAAAATATATTACTGGGTCACTTTTACCCTGATCGATCTTCGTCTGTTTTTGCCACGAATGATAATCCCGAGGCCTAAAACGACCTAACTTGAGTGTACTTTTGTAAAAAGCAACTTTAGCTAACTCATTTAAAAAAGGCATTTATGACTTGCTCAAATCACCTATAGTTTTTAACCTTTATCAGGTTTTAACAGTAAAAAGTAACCACTTTTTCCATACTTCAAAACAAGGAAAGATGTGCCCAGAAATCTTTAGTTTCTAATTACCATCTAATCAATTTCTGATGAATTTTACCAAATGATTAATAGCGTTCCATACACTTTTCGCGCAGCTCTGAACTAGGTGCGAAACAGAAGGAAAAAATGAAAATGAAACTATAGCACTCATGCAACAACTAACAATGGCAAAGACCCATAACTTCAGTCCTACTCACCGTGCAAATACATAAGAAACAGCAAAAAATTTAGTCTGACTGCTTTCCGAATGTTGGAAATAAAGCTTTCACAAGAAGTATGTAAAATCATTAACAAGAGCTAAAAGTTTCCCAAGTCACAAAACAGTGGGGACTGTCAAAAACTGCAAAAACTATGACATCAATATCTTAATAAGAAAAGCCAAATAATGGTGCAAACGTTACTTTTATTTTGTAGTAAACTGAATTTTCGGGCGAAAAAGGTGATTTAGCTATATGGAAACTATAAGGTGCGCCTTCCAACCGAGGCATGCAAAGCCACGCACGAACGCAAGGACGTTGTGACCTCAACAACAATGGATAGCTAATATTTTTTTAGTATTCAATAAAAGTTCTACAGAAACATTAAAAAAGTGCAAGAACTGTAAATTTACAACACGGTAAATTTGTTAACGAAGGGTAGAAGAACAGGAAATTGCAACCATGAAGTCCCAAGAGCTGAAACCAAGAATGCCGAATGGTCTCTTTCCCCCGGTCGAAACCTTGTAGTAACGTGATTCACAACAACTACCTTAAGCGAAATACAGAACCATTGCAGCAGAAAAAGAAGCTCAAAACAGCGTAGTGTGCAACAATCATTAAAATATTATTACACTCATAACAACTACGTTTTTTGTCCTAACGAAAATCCCCTACGCACTAAATGAATGTTAAAACAAGCATTAATATCCCGCTAAGATACTGGCCAAAATTCTACAAATGGGTTTCAATCACTTCGTTTGAGTGAAGCGTTTCCTAATAACAAAACGAGTGAGAGTTTCTATCATTAACCTCAAGAACGAATCTTCTCAATCACAAATCCAATATTTAACTAAACGACAGCCTCACTTTGAAGTCTGCTAAAGTTGAGAATAATCTGTGAACAAATTTTCTAAGAAGGAATCAATCAAAGACTGAAAAAGTCATTTATTTGAAGATAAGTAAAAGATTTCAAAAACAGTCTAGATGGTATCAGGCTCACTGCACTTACTGCTAGTCAACCAGAATCTATTAAGTTTCACCAATCTTTACAAATTGTATGATGGAAATTACAATCAGTCGCAGCGGTAATTCAAAACTGCATTTGAAGTCCTTCAAAAACCTCTCTGAGTAGACTGATTCTTCATGAGCAATAAAACAATACTGATCTAGCACATCTTTTGAAAAAAGTAAAATGCAAAAAAAATCACCAAGCAATTGAAGGACACAGCAATACGAGAAAGTACACTGGAAAGCAAAGTTATTGCGGATTTAGTGTAGTCTGTTTCGCCGCGAAATGGCATGGCTATACTGTCGACTATAACCAGGCCCACCTTCAAAAACCGTAATTTTGACAGCTTCATAATTAATTATTTAAAAACTGTTTAGTTAAGAGCGTAAAAATACGATGACTTCCAAACCACTCATTTTTTCTAATGGAATTAGGAGTTATTGTAAAGAATAGCACATGGGAAAAAAAAAGACAAATTACTTCTGGATTCTGCTCCAACAAATCCTGTAAACGACAAACTGCACTTGTCAACTGGACAAGATCAGTACAACGAGTGTGTCTTATCAAATCGAGGAAGTCTCCAGGTACCTTATCAAAATGACCACATGCAATCTCATTCAGGCGCTGAGTAGAAAACCCACCCTCTGTATCGATATAAACAGATTCTTTTCGCTTTCCCCGTTTTTGAGCCATTACACAGAGTTGCATACTAGATGAAATAAATTAAACGAAACACTGTTTTCTAGAATTATACAAATTTACACGGAAACAGAAGGGTGTAACGACAATTCATACCATAACTGTGTCTTTCCTGTGGAAGAGCATCCAACAATTTCAAAAAATGTACCAGAAGGAATGCCATCTCCAAACAGTTTATCGATCTCAGAGACACCTGTTGAAAAACACTGTTCGCCCAGCTCAAGTTCTAGTAATTCACGTGCATTAAGCAATTTCGTTTCTAACTTTTCCATTTGACGTTTCAAACACTGTCTATAAACGAAAAATATTTACACAATAATCAGGAAAAAACTTAAAAAGAATTCTCACAACTTCTGCCTGAACTATAATTCCAATAAACATCGTGTTGCAACTACACATATTAAATCATGTCCTTCCTCCCCATCTTCTCGTCCGGTTTTACGAAGAAACAGTATGTTAAGTTAGAACTGCTTCTTCGCAGTGAATAACAGCAATATTTATCATATTCCGTTAAAATAAAAATTTCT